TTCCCAAATAGACGAGGATTGATAGGACGAGTAAACAATTGTCCAAAAAATTGGCCACCAAGATCACCAGATCTGAAGAAATGCGCTTTCGTTCTCTGGGGGTTTAGAAGAATGTGTTTATTTTACACCAGTTGTATCTGAAGCAGGTTTATGGAATAAATGCAATTCCATCAAAAATGATCCACAGTTATTGCGCAGAGTAGACTTATTTAATTTTCAGCAGATGGTAAATTTATGTATTAGAGAAAATGGTGGCCATTTTCAATAGTTATTGTAGTGCTATTTAAAGATATCGGCAGTTCATGTAGTTAAAGTTGAATTTGTTAATATTTTGTTTGTAAGGTTATTCTTTTTTTAATATGTTAACAAAATAAAGAATCTAATTTAATGAATTTGCTTTTTCTTGATACTGTTTTGTAAACGTCAAAAATGACACATGAAATCAGAGCCTACTAGTAGTAAAACTGCATACTTTACGTTTTGTACGATCCACGTAGTTAGTAATGACGCCATTTCACAAAATTCCGATTTTCACAAAAAATTTTTTTTAAATAAATTAAATTTACTGGAATACTGGTAAAACTATTCAATAATTGGTATACTGATAAAAAAATCGATATCATTTTAAAGGCGCCCTATCCCTAATCTGGTTTTTATTAGGCTTCCAACAAATTCATATTTTTACCAATTAAAGATAACAATAAACGCAAATTATGTACCAAATTTACTTGCTCTAGTTAAGGCATTGCTGAAATATTATTGTTTTTCAAAATTTAACACTCACCAGAGGCCAGCCAATGGGCTAGGGGGGAGGCGAGGTAAGAGAGCGGATGGGAGAAATATAAATTATAGGTAGGAATAGGTACCAAGAATTTTTAATACAAAAAAAAACATAAAAAATATAAATAACTAAAAAAATTAAAAAATTCAATGAAAATTAAGTAAAACATAATCTCGGATTCTTTGAAACTTTGTAGACCACTTTATTAATAACATCTTCATAGTTGCTAGGCCATTGAGATGATTTTGTACTAGTATTTCTCAGTCAGGTTTATTATTCTTTTTTTTTAATTTAAAATTCCAGAGCTAAATTTTTAAAATATGGAAATGTATTACTTTTTAACATAAAATTTTATATTTTTAAATTCTTTTGTCAACAAATACTTATACTAATATATTACAATTATTAAAAAAAAAATAAAATAGTGTATTAATTTTCAAAATTAAAGTCTAAGTAAATAAAATATTTTATTAAAAATTTCCAAATTTCTTGGCTTAAGAAAATTTTTGTACTTTCATTCACTTTGACATATTGTTGTATTACACCCTGTATTTAATACCATTATATGTTATTTTACAGATTTTTCTACTTTTCAGACAATACTTACCTATTTTGACATAAAGTTATTTTAAACAATTGGTCAGTTTTGTGTAAGTACACTGTATTCTTCACAAGATACAAGAATACCATCAGATACACAAGCAATGTGTATTTTTGTGCAATATTCCGTACTGTTGAAACTAAATATTTATATTTAAGTAAAAACTGATAAGGTGCTTTTCACGGGTATCCCACAACTGAAGAAAATGTCATATGGGGATTCCCCTGAGATCTGACACGTTAGAGGACATGTCTAACTCTGTCTCTCCTTTTATTTTCTTCTGTTAATCATCGTCGTTCGTGGTTGGGGAAAGGGGAAAAAAAGGCAATTTGTCTTTTTTGTAATTTTAATTACATGAATATATAAATAGTTCTTATACAACATAAAACATACAAAAAGCAATTCGAGGAAATTATAAATATAAAAAAGGATATCACAACGTTAAAACCTAATAAAACAGAGGTTCGTAAATCAAGCGAAGCCTACTCAATAAAAAACAATGTGCGTACAGTGTAACAGCTGTACAATAAAAATTTATCGGCTTGTTATATACACTTTGACTAGTTGTGTTAACAATATATTATATATGGTCGAACAGAGTTAGATCTATTTGAGATACAGTGAATTATTTTCAAAACCTATCACTTCCACAGACTTTCTCGATATCTTGCAAAATATTTTCAATCTTGAAGTTATTTACATTTACTATCGTTTACTAGTAGATTATTTACATTCATTTAAAAGGCATGCGCAATAAATTTAACTTTATATAGTATGTTAGTTGAACATGTACCTATACATCATAACAATTATGCGCGGCATCTCCCGAATTGTAACAAATAAAGGTCAGTAAACGGACACAGAGCAGTTTAGTCAAGGGCTATAATTTTTTTTTATATATTCCGGTTTTGGATTTGGACCTGTGCTTTAAATGTGAGAAAATCCCAGGTTAAATGATTTGTAGTATAAAAATATACATTACCAACATTTTTGTACCTAAACAAGTGGAGAACTTTTAGCCATTTTCATTTTTTTATTTTTTTTTATTTTGTTTGTAATTTCGACATTTTTCTCATAATTCTCGAGCAGATAAAACAAAAAGTAGTTCATATGTCACAGGCTCAACTTTTGAGAAAAACTGAATGACAAAAACGCCATTTCAATATTGGTACAGATTGTTTTTCAGTTTTTGAAATGCTTTTGCCATAAATAGGAAATAACTGTGTTATTTCCTATTTTTTTTATAATATATAATAGTTTTGTATACATTTTTTTGGGTGAAATACTGTAATGTAAGCTATTTTTTTAATATAACATACAGTTTTTGAATAAGTTCCAATTAATATTTTTCACACTGAAAATATTTTAAAAATTTTGAATAAAATATTTTTGATCAAAAAATAATTTTTTTGAAGGCAACAACAAAATTACTATTTTTTATACATTTGTTTTGATGAAATGATTGAATTACAAAATCATTTTTAGCATCTACAACTTCGAAAAAACTTTTGTCCAAATATCATATATTTATTCTTATTTAAAATGAAGTGATAAAATTTGCATTTCAATTCACTTTATTTCTAGATTAATGATATAAATGCAGCCACACTTTTACACACACTAAAGTCTGTAACAGAAGACGAGACGCGTGGTAGTTTATCTGTTAGTTTTCATAACGGATGGGCCATCTCAAACAGTAAAATATTTCAGCCAACACTAATTGAAAAGTTAAGGGTTTTCAAGTAGGTTTAGCGTCGCTATAAAGTCGTCGAGAGACTAATGCCAGTTTGTCACTGCGAGTAATAAGTCTGCAAAGCCATCCTTCGGAAAAGGCCGCCTCATGAAATTTAGCAATGTTTTTGAACAAGTTGACTTAAACCATGTGTTAAGCACTAACTGCGTCGGTTTAGCCCATGGTAACGGGAAAAATCAATATTTCTAATAACACGCGAAATGCATTTGAAAAGAAGTAGAAATTCCAAGATATTTGAATAAGTGGTATAAATAGATCAAATAGCTGGTTTTTAGGCGGATTTTCCAAGCTATAAGAATATATTAAATGAGACTGACTAATCCTTTCCGTGTTGCTATATGGAGTCATGAGAGGAAGGTGTAGGGTTACTCGTAAGTTCAGTTTAGTCACAAAATTGTCCATACAATTGTAAATTCAGTCAATTAGATAACTACTAACATGGTATAGTTATGCCAAAGCGTCCCGATATTCAGGGATGCCGCCAGTAAGATAAGAACCGAAACTTAGAAACCCAAGAAATGAGTCGAATTCAGAAGAGACCTCTGAAAAAGGCAGTTTTTCCTTAGGTTCCACACTGAGCAGTCTACTTAGTTTTAGGGTCTCGGGTTAATTTAATAATGGATAAAGTCTTTCCAAATTTTGCTATGGATCTCGCATTCCCTGAATCTCGGTATGCTGTCACGTGTAAATGAATCAATACTGTTTATTCGAGTCTGTTGTGTTATCATTGTTTTGATTGTTTTGTTTTTATTGTTACTAAAACCCTTCTTGGAAAGTTTTGGTGTTTTCTTGTTCTTCCAACTTAAGTGTCACCCTATACAACCAACCACTGGATTACATTATACGTGAGTGACGTAGTGTAAGTGTCTGGAATTCATTCTCTGAACGTACAACATTTCTAAGTTCCCACGTATTAATTAAAGTGTAGATGATAAAAATTATAAACTCCCTTCGAGAAGTAAATGGTAAACTCTTTTGCAAGTTAATATCGTTATGTTACTGGTCATAACGGTAGATAGTTAAATAAAGAAATAATCCCTCAGGTTACAAGTCACACTAGTGTGAATTCGCACCGATCAGACTTTTCAGACTCTCTAGTTTGTCCGACAATAATAGACTTAGGCCAGCTGTGGTACGGCTCGACTGTTTGGGCTATAGAAGGAATTATCGTGGTGGGGGAACCTTCAGCAGCTACTACCTGAGAAATTCCAGTTATTAAAAAAAAAAAAAAAAAACGGTGGTGCCAATTCGCACTTTTGACACCTTTGAGGGTTAATATAATGTTTGTGATTTTTTTTTAATTTCTAAATTTGTTTATATACTTTTCTATAACATACAGTTTTTGATTTAAGTGCAAATTTAATTTTTTTTAATCAAGGCGCACCCTATAAAGTATTTATTGATCTCTGAAAGTTACACTAAATTTCTTCTTTTACCAAAAATTTGCATAAAACTAAAAAAAATTTAAGAAAAAATACAACACACGTAACAACCTGTATTTTTTAAACAAGTCAAGATATTAAGATCCGATTTTCATTGTTCAACTTTTCTTGAATATCAAGTCTGGGACATCAACTATGTTCTCCTATTTCTAATGACGCGACTATTTAAAGTTAAAAAAAAACAGGTAAACCTGCGACTATGTCATTTTATTGCCTTTCTTTCATACCATTTAGGAGATGACACATTGATAAATTTTCATTTACCTAAAATGTTAATTTTCACTTTATTTTTTTAAGTGTTTCCTAAATATATCAACTTATTTTTCATTAATTTTCAATAGTTTATTTATAGAAAATTTTGTATATCAATAAAGTCATGTGAGTATTTTCTTAAAATTGTGTGTAAATATTTAAAAAAACAATAACCTAGACAAAAACAAAGCATCATAAAAATACTTTACACATAGTTTGGATTAGTGTTTTTTCAATATAAAGCTGTCAGCAGTGGAGATGATCGATTTTAGAAAACAGACAATCTTATAATTTACGGATAAATTATGAATATAATTAGTAATATGGCTATAAGTATATTTGGACTATCAGTCTTTTTACAGAAAAGATAATGTAAAAACTCAACGGCATAATACATTTTATACAAATATCATCACAAAATATAAATAATGTTATACATAATACTCTTTAAACTTTTGGTAAACACAACTTTAACAATTTTCGCAGACCGTCACAATCGCCACCCCCAAAACTTACCAGATAAATTTTGGAAACGCCAACTGTTTCTATTCGGCAAGTTAATAGCAGTTCGCTATAACTTGGTCTGCGAAAGTAACCCTCTTCTAGCTAGGCTGTGGGGGCACCAGAGGAGCGTTTTGGTGGAGGGCGCTGATGGGTCGGCTTTTGGGCTGGTCGTTCCTCCTCATTTCTATGACGTTCCCGTGCAGCGCCTCCATATATTCCCTGATGAGCGTAGCGATCTGGAACGCCTGAGCCGTGGTTAAGATTACCTTGCTTTGTTTTCTGTCGCTTCCTGTAATTATCATTAGGCAGTTGAGGGCGGGGGAATAGCTCAGGATGCTTCCGTAATCGTAGGTGCAGAGAGCGTTGCGAGATCGATGTTCCAGTAAGTGAAGTCCCTTTTGGTCTACGGCCAACCATAAGACTCTAGGCCAGTTGGATGTGAAAGATTGCTGAAATGGAAACGATGGAATACTCAAAAGAAGCTTGTAGGTTATGTTTTTGGCATATTCTGACAGAAATTTTTAACAATGTAACATTTATTAGTAGAGCTCGACACTTTGGTGTGTTGTTTAATTTTTTTTCTGGCTTTATTTGAAAACGAATTTTAAAATAAATTGCATACTTACATTGCCTCTTTTTCGCTCTATACAATGGCGTCAACATTTTTACAATCCAACGTTTCGTCTTCGAGGGGCCATCATCAGGTTAATTTTTTTAAATACGTCGCTGCTATTTTTATGACAAAATCTAAAGTCATTTGTAATTCTGAATTAGATGATATTACTATTGTAATCGCTAAAAAGTTTTTAGCTTGTTTTAGCTATCATTAAATATTTTTCCTGAGTACGGCTCTGAATGCTTTCAAAATATATATTGGATGAAGATATAACAGTATAAAAGTCAATACCGTACAAAATATCCAACAGTTTTTTTTACTACTATTAACAATACCAATTAGAAATATTAAAACATTTCATAAATTCGTATTATTTTTTATTAGGTACAACTTTTTAAATTATTGATTAAAAATTACTAGATTTTGTCATAAAAATAGGAGCGATGTATTTAAAAAAATTTACCTGATGATGGTCCCTCGAAGATGAAACGTCAGATTGCAAAAATGTTGATGCCATTGGAAAAGACAGAAAAAAATAAAACGATTTTACAAAATTTCGGGTTTTCGAGTTTCGCGTCAACAGTAGATTTTGCAGTTAACACTTTGTAGGTATTGCTGAAATCTCAAATGATCCAGAGATAATTTGTCATTTGTGCATTTGTAATTTGACTTAGATGTTTATAGCAATACTGTATAAAAATAAAGTTTTGGGTCAAACTATGAGACACAGTTTTTTTTTGTATTTTTTCGTAGATTTGAATGGTGCAATCAGTTTTTGAATTTTTTTTAATTTAAACAAATTATCAACAATTACTGAAAAATTCATTGTTGCAAGTTATTTTTTATTTTTTGCATTTTTGAGCATGTGTTTGAACTGTGATTACAGATTTTTTTAGTTCATCAAAAAGTATGTCAAAACGAAAAAAATTATCACCGGCAAAACTCTGTACGATAATTTTTCTAAGTAGAATTTTTCTTGTTTCAGACTGGAAAAAATGAATATCTCGGAAACTTCTTGATTTGTTTATATAAAAAAAAAAACTGTGGATATTTAAGACAGAAAGGTATACTTTCACCAAATTTCGTCAAAATTAAATTATTTTTGCGGAAATGAGAAATAAAAAATGAAAAATAAGAAAAAAACCTGTTTTTCGCATTTTTCTCGGATATTTTGAGGTTATTTATTTTGGTTGGACTATTAGTGCAATGATTGTCGTAGATAATGCTCCTTACCTCAGTCGACAAATGCAAAAATTGACAATGTCTGCATGAAGAACAGAAGGAATCAGGGAACAGTAAACATATTGAATATAGACATTATGTTAAAAGTGAAATTATTAGCAACTGCACAGAAAAAAAAAGTTAAATACATGAAGAATGTACTGGATGAAATGGCTAAAGCTAGCCGTGTTATACTTCTTCAATGACTACCATACTATTGTTAAGCTGAACCCCATTAAACTAACTTGAGTAAATATAAAAATTTATTTAGTATGAAATAAAACTTATAAATTATGACATGTAAAAGTACTTCTGCAAAAGATTACACAATTACAATTACAATTTTCTGTACTTTTCATGCGACATGTTATCCGCAGTATTTTTGCCTCCTGATCACGAAACCGGTGTCAGAATTGAGCTATCACATCACAGGAATTTCCTAACCTCAAAAAACAGGTAAAAAAATAACAAAAATTCACGAAAAAGTGCTAGCAAAAATACTATTTTTTTTTTCTATATTCAAATTTTCATTTATATGGTTAAGACCCCGCCGAACGTGAATCTGCGGTCAGAATCGTTGGTTCTTTTTCTAACCTCAAAAAAAACGGGTCTATTAAGCTCAGATACCACGAATTTTAAAAAAATAACATATTCGCGCCAAATTTGATATACGGAGATTTTCGGGGTCGCTGATCACGAATCTGAGGCCAATTTTGCAAAATTCAAGATGGCGGATCCAAGATGGCCGATCAAATTTTCAAAAATAATACATTCGCGCCAAATTTGGTATACGGGGGCTTTCGAGGTCGCTGATTACGGATACGAGGTCAACTTTGTAAAATTCAAGATGGCGGATCCAGGATAGCGACCAAAATTTAAAAAATTAACAGATTCGCGCCAAATTTGGAATACGAGGGTTTTCGGGGTCGCTGATTACGAATTGTGAAATTCATTCTGTAATATTTTTATTTACTTTATAACTTGAGTACCCAATCATGTTTTAATGTTCTTTTTTTAGCTATGTCTTGTTCTTTTTTCTGTAAAAGATCTATTCATGGGTTTTCTGCCTAATCTCAGGTAATAACGTACATAGGTAATTGATTAAATTTTTAAAAACGAATTTTGTAAATCTGATCTCGGATTCGTGATCAGTGACCCCGAAAACGCTCGTTTTGGCGTAAATATTATTTTTTGAAAATTTGGTCGGCCATTTTGGATCCGCCATCTTGAATTTTGCAATATTATAAAATATTTAAAATAAAGTCATTTTAAAATTTTCTTTAGTGATGCTACTCACTGCACACAGTTGTCGAGCTCTATTATGTTTCTTTTACTTACCATAACATCAAATATAGTCGCTTTATGCAGCGGCCAACTCTGAATTAAGTTGAGAAAAGCCTGTTTGGCTTCCGATGGGGTCATCCCCTTTAAGGATTGGTGGTGCATCTGCACACCTTCACAGGGTAATATTGGAACCATACGAGCGGGTAAACAGTGTGATGCAATCGGTCGGTAATCGTGAATGTTTTCTTCTAGGTCTCCAAGTTCTAATTGAGCTTGAAGTGCAGTCAACATCATCTGAATCAAAAAGATTCACAAGATAAAATATATTCACATATAAAATTGTGGTTTCTTACAGCTTCTTTGTCCGTTATTGGAAACCGATCTGTTCTCAAATCGTACAGGACTTGGTGGTACAGCAGTTCCTTTTCCACGGGATCACTTAGATTTATGAAATTGTCCATAAAGAGGTGTTTCTTAAATAAGAAGAAGTGATGCTGCGGCCTGGTTCTCTTAGCAGTACCAGTGGTACTTGCAGCTGTTGCAACAGATGCTGCTCTGTATCTCTCCCATTTCGCCATGACGTCGGACACTTTCTCTTCTGGGGCCAAGCTACGTTCGGAGTTCCCCAACACTTCGTAAATCGCATAACCTATGAATGAAACAGTATATCATATCGTTAACTTAAAATTACTGGTATACAGGGTGTTTACCAACTCGGAGATTTATTTTTTATGCAAGATAGGTCTTCATAAAAGAAGCTGATTGCCCCACGTTGGGCGCCAAATATGCGTTAGCATTATCTTTATTTGATTTGGGTTACAAAGTTACAGGACAAGTTATGGAAACTATTATCTTTAGAGAAAACACTTGGCAACTCGCTGGTGGTTCTTCATCAACTTGCTCTTTTCCCTCAAGCATTCAAATATCTGTCTGGTTGGGTCTCCGCAAATGTCACCGATAACGTTTGACTGCATAATCACGACGATAAATAAATACGATCTACGAAAAAAAAGTTAAATAAAAACTTTTTGGTTTTAGGCCTTCAAAGTTGTCAAAAACACGGGCTGAACACAGCAAATTTAAAGTTTTAATTGCCGGTATCGCGAGAAACAACTACTCCGAGAGCTATATGCCCCTACCGGCATTGAATTGTACTCACAAGACCTAGTGCAACAGCTAGGATCATTTGGCAGTTTAACCCACCAGGCACAGACCAGTTTCGGACTTATTAGTCCTCATCAGTGTGTCATAGGTGAGACAACCGACGAACGATCCAGCTGTTTTGCGTCGTATCATCACGATAAGGAAATACATTGTACGCGGGAGCACAAACGGCTCCATCTGTTGTGCTGACTCTCAACTGTGCCATTCAATTGGCCACAGTAAAAAGCGACCTGCTATATTGCAGGTACTTGTTGCACAACTGCCACCCACAGAGGGCGAAGACAATGTTTTAATTGCCGGTGTTGCGAGAAACAACTACTCCGAGGGTTATATAGGGGCTATTATAGCCCTCAGAGTAAATGTTTCTTGCAACACCGGCAATTAAAACATTGTCTTCGCCCTCTGTGTTTGGCAGTCGTGCAACAAGTACCTGCAATATAGTAGGTCGCTTCCTACTGTAGCCAATTGAATGGAACAGTTGGGGGTCAGCACGACAGATGGAGCCATTTGTGCTCCCGCGTACAACGCAAATTTAAAGTTGTTTTCTAATATATTCGCGAGCCAGTTAAAAGGTTAATATAACGAAACATAGTCACTCCTAAAAAAATAATTTCCAAGTTTGTAAACACCCCTCAACTAACTCTTACCTTTGGCATCTTGATTAAGTCCGATTTTGTCTCTTACAACTTCTAGCACGTCTTTGGCAGTAGCAGAGGGATGGAACTCAACCGAGTGATACTGACCATCCATAAAATGAAACCTAGCGTAGACCGGCCGCCTATTTATTGTACACAATATCTCTTCTCTAGAAGGAGGCCATTGCCTTCGTCTCGTACCCTGAGTTTTAGAAAGACATTTCTCGGCGAACCTTGCGTATTTACCCTCCTCCGTTACGAAATCGGAGCTACACCGTTTCAAGTGAGCTATGAGATACCTCCTAATAGCTTTACTTGGCGGCAACACCACCGAGCAAGCTAGTGACAGCAAAGCCCAGTGTCTCAAATTAACTCTGGAGTTTGGATCGGGATGGTCGGTGGTCTGTTTTATCAACTGGAGGTAAAGCTCGCATAATAGCCCGTCTTTCCTCATACACCTTTCGAGGATCGTTTGTAGCAAGGTTACGTGTTCGTCCTCCACTCGTCTTATAGTTTCCCCTGAAATATTTTTACATCACAAAAGTATCGATAAACAAAAAACTTACCGTACCGTTCTGTCCCAATCCGGCGTAAGTCAAGATAATTTGAAACACCTGCAGCATGATCTGTTCGTCGGGCTCTGGTATCCTGCTAATACTCTGGGGCAACGGTTGTCTGCTGAATGCCCAAAAAGCATAATGGAATCCTTTGTAGGTTTCACCGGTATCACCACCATGTTCCTGACGGAGTTTGTCCAATTTATGTTTGCTTAGTCTACGAAGTGTGTTCCGGAGGAAGCTACCAGAAGATTCCATTGGCTTACGAAGGATGTCATGATCGACTAGCGCCCTTCTACAATTGACTAGATTGTGGTAAAGTCGTACTCGGTCTTCGTTTGTAATGCCTGAAATTAAAAATGTTAGAAAAATTTGAAATTATACAAAACTTTTCTTACCCTTTAACTTCTTTTGCGGTGCCTCACTTTCCGTAAGCCACCCAGCTAAGGTCGGGCAATAACTAGCGATTAAAGAACCGATCTCGTTCTTCTGCGTTGTTTCGAAGACATAACACTTATGATTATTTTCGCTCAAGTGCCTCTGTAAGGTAATCGTAATGAAACTATCGCTGGGGTCTAGCAATATGCTCTCGACTTCTTGATATGGGAATTCGTTCAGTACGAATTTATCGTCATTCTTTATCAACATGATTCCCTCGCAGTTTATGCCTAAAGTGAGAGCGTTTCCGTAAGACCAGTAACCTCGGTAAGTGACGGGAAACATTGTGGTGCCATAGAGAGGGTACTGCATTACACAGGATAGGTATAAAGCTTTGGCGGTTAACTCTGTACGATTTGCTCCGTACTGACGGTGGGCTTGAGCAATAATCGGTACCTAGTAATTTGAAACATAATAAGAACATCCGTTAACACAATCGGTTCTTATAGGAATACTTACCCATACGTCATCTCCTCTGGTGCGACTTATGCGGTAAGGAAGATATGTATCAATGTCTGTGTAATATTCAAGTTTATTATTATCTTTGGGATTTCCTAAAGCTACTTGTGCCTGTAAGCCAGCTAGCTGAAGGGCGACTTTCTCCGTTACGGGAAAATCGTCACACTAAAAAGAAGTTAATTTCCAGAATTTTAATCGTTTGTTGGTAAGAAATATCGAGCTAAATTACGTCATCCTTAATACTAGTCTGTCCAATAGCCAGAAGTTTAATAAAGGATTCTGAAATTGTTTACATTTTTGGTATAACAAACTTAAAAGTTTCTAGATTAATCGAGTATCACGATCAATGTTCTTGATTGCTCCAAAACGGCAGTTTGACCATTGTACCAAATTTAAAAAATTGCACTATGATCGTGACCTTCAGAAGCAGTAAATGACTATAAATTTTGCAATTGTAAATTAAAAAATTCGAAAAATGCCTTTCTAAAATTTATTTAGCGTCCAGACCAGGAATCTACTTTTATCACAGTATAATACAAATGAGTTTCTTATAATGATTTTAAGTTGATAAATGCGAACTTGAACAAGTCAACTTATTAAAAGGGTGTAGATAAAAGACATTTTATCATCAGAATTTAGACGAAAACATTGCGTTAAAAACAAAAATTTTAAAATGCCCTGGAATATGAACTTAAAGACTTAAAATAGAGCCTTGCATTACCAGAGCAATTTCCAGAAGTAAATAAACACTTTATTTTACTGTAAAGATGAAGCGTTTTACTTGACACAAAACATAGCCATTACCGTATGACATTAATCAGAAATAGTTTGTCGCTGTCACAGCCCCAACAGTGTTTTGTTGCGGATGGAAGAAGACAAGTGGAAAAGTTGTTAGAAACGTGTTTAAAAATTCTACCACAAAAATCAGTTGAAAAATACAGTCGCCAGCATGATATATTTATAGAATGGTGCGAGAAACACATAATTAAAAAATATAGTGAAATGTTTTTACTGGCATATTTTTCCGAGTTATCGAACGAGTATTCCCTTCTGCAATGTGGTCATATTATTCCATGGTGAAAGGAACCCTTTCAGCAAAAAATTATGTTGACATTAGTAAATATAAAAAACTTACGGCTTTTTTTAAATAAAAAGCAAGAAATCATATTCCAAAAAAGTCCAAAACTTTTTCACAAGAAGAAATACTTAAATTTTTACTAAATACACCAGATTAAATCTACTAGATGATGAAGTTAATTATACTTAGGATTGATCGTTACCGAGATGTTTTGTTTTTAAAATTGACAAATGCAGACTGTCGCAAAATTTAGTTTTCCTGGAAACATAGGTTTATTTTTTTGTGCAAATTGGACATTTTATAGAGGAAAGCCTAATTTATCGAATTTGACATGAAAATTTTCCAGTTTTTATACAGGGTGGTCAAAAAAATTATCTAATATGAAGTTCAGAAAATGTGGAAAACTCGAAATTTTTAAATGGAAACCTCTAATTTTTTTAATGTATTCTGCACTAAAATTAAGTGTAACTTTGTTAATTAAAGCTTCCCTATACCTAAACCCAGTTGATTTCATTTTATTTACGAACAAACATTTTCCTTTTCTTAAAATGATGTTTCCATATGTTCAAATTCGATAAATTAGGTCTTCCTCTACAAAATATCCAATTTACACAAAAAATAAACCTATATTAATTTCCGTGAAAATTAAATTTTGCTGACAGTCTGCATCTGTCAATTTTTGCTTAAAAATCAAAATATTTCAGAAACGGTCAATCCTAAGTACGGAGTGTGCTATATGTTTTCAACTTAAAAATAGATGCTCTTTCCAAAAATGCAATAATATACAGGGGGTTCCATTTAAAATAAGAAAGTTAGTATCGACTTCCGGTATCCGGAAATCCGATGACCTTGAAAATATTTTAGCTTGGTAGGCCCCACGGTCCATTTCACACATCGATGGAGTTCGTGGTGGTACACCTCGTATAGTAACTATTTTATATTAGTGTTGTGTCTGGCATTGCGGGCCACAGATGGGGAACTGATTAAACAGAACAATGAAACGGACTAGAAACTATACACGTGCTATAATTTAGCAAACTAGTAAAATTAACAATAATTCCTTAAGTATGAATCAATAAATTCATTAGTTCACTCAAACGTTTTTAAATACTTTTAAAAGCATAAAGGCAAAGTGTTTGAATGTTGTTTTGCTATAAGTAATTGAAAATTTGATAGGTACGTAGTAATGAAGGTTAGGTAAGGTTAGATTAGGTTAATCAATAGAATTACCTTAACTACGCTGTGCACAGCTTGAGCATAAAGTAAATTAACTTCTACAGGATCCTGACTAAGTTCTCGACTAGATTTAAAGAGCCTTCGTTTGAAAATAAACCTATTTTCTCCCCCACTGACGGACTGGCCGCTTCTCCTGCCTAGCGTCGCTAAACCGCTAGCAGGCACTAATTTATTCTGATTCCTGAAAACCCACAAGGATATAAAATCGAATATATACAGGTTATCCCATAATTATAAATCAATATCAAGTAATTATATCGGTACGACTTACATTTCCCACTGAGCGATGACGTCGTAAAGGTAGTGATGTGCCCTAACATGCTCCTCACCGTCAGGGCGACTCTGGTAAATCGCCCAACCATCTAAGTTCCTCAGACCTAAACGTTCGGCTAATTTCCTTGCTGCGTCACCTGCCGTGTCCGTCGGATGTACGTCGATAGCTTTTGTCCGGCCGTCCAGGAAGAAAAATCTACACACAATTGTGCCTAATCTCTTCATGGCCTGAATTACGAAGATAATGAAAATTTAACCTTTCAGTGTTACCAAATATACTCACCGCCACTTCTACTGAGGACGGGGGATGTTCCCTAACGGTAACTTTATTGTTATTACAGTTATCCAAGCACCACTGCACGTATTGGGAAATTCGGCCACCTTGCGACAAGTTCTTTTTTAGGAAAGACAAGAAGTATCGATAAAGGAGTTTTGAAGGTTGGAAGGAAACCACACACAAGCAAAGAAGTAACCATACACGCTCCGTTCCTTCAGAACTAGGGTTATTTGTGGCCTGTCTAATACATTGTACAAAAATTTCGTCCCTGAGTTCTTCCCTTTCTAAGGCGTAACCAATTATAGACTGAATTACTTGTAGTTCTCTCTCTCCGTTTAGTTCGCCTCGAATATATTTACTTAGGTCCTAAAAATAATTATGAATGTCACGTTCGTTAAAAAATGGTGACCTTTTAGTTATCAGAAGTGAAACGACTGATATAGATACAAGAATGGGATATTTACAATGGCATTTGTTGAAGTATTTCAAAAATATGGTTCCCAAAAATTCCCAAGTGCATAATCTGCCAACTATAGAGAAAAATGTTTTAAGATTGCTAACAATTTTGGGCAGATACAAAGACAAGAGGTTTTCAGCTTTCAGAAAAGTGCCACCAAGGAAATGATGTATATTCCAATATTTCAAAATCTAAAGCATATGTAGATGGATGTATTTACATCTAAAACTTCAGAAAAACATATAAAGCGAAGTTTTAGAAAACAGAGATGTGCAATATAGTTCCTATATGCTTGTCCCAGTTAAGCATTTCTACTAACCACAAAAAACTTACTAAACAACATATCTACTTTAGAACCCAGTGTTATAATGGCTCTCTATCAACGAATTAAAGCAAATCTTCTTAATGCTATGAAATCAATTATTATATAACAGGTTTACAGCCATGTCACATATCTTGATTCTTCTATCTATACTATTTACCAAGATACACCTTTATTATTATGAAAATGGAAAGTGGTATGTACCAGTATTAAAGTAAAGCACAAGACTGAAAAAAAAAGATATATGTACTTTAGGGTGGCCCAAAAAAAAAAAACAAATATTTTTTTTTCGTGCCTCTTGTGTTTATTACGTTTTAAGCTTCCTCAAAAAATCAGCTCAAAAAAAATTTTTTTAGAGGGTGCACAAGATTTTTAAAAATTTCCAAAATTGTAAAAATTGAATTTAAAAAAAAAAATTTTTCTCTTTATTTTATTATTTTCTAGGTTGAAAAAAATCGCGATTCTGAAAATTTCAAATCGATATTTTAATTTCTAAGAGTTCTAAAGGTTTACAAGAAGTGTACCTACAATGTTTTCGAACGACCGCTAAAAATAAATATCAACAAACTAATAATTTTTTTTTATTGAATTTGATGAACAAAAGAATAGAAATAAATCACGACAGGCAAAATTTACTACCACACTGTGAGTATCAAATATTTATAATTTTTTGATTTTTTAAAATTTAAGTGTCTCATGGTTTATTTCTATTCTTTTGTTCATCAAATTCGATAAAAAAAATATTAGTTTGTTGATATTTATTTTAAGAGGTCGCTCGAAAACAGGTACACTACTTTGAAAGTTAAAATGATTATGAGTGGCCTTTAGAAATTAAAATATCAATCGAGATTTTTTTCAACCTAGGAAATGATAAAATAACGAGAAAAAAAATTTAAAAAAAATTGAATTTTCGACGATTTTGGAAATTTTTAAAAATCTTGAGCGACCGCTAAAAAAATTTTTTTTGAGCTGATTTTTTAAAGGTGCTCTTACAACATGATAAACTAACATATTTTCATAAGAGACACGAAAAAAGAAATCTTTTTTTCGCCACCTTAAATTGTACTTTCATACGTATAAATTTTGTACATAAAATAAAATAATGACAATTTTTGTGCAAACCTTAACTTTGATATCCAGAAGACAGACTACAGACAAACAATTTAAAATTGTTTGTGGTCTGTCTGTCACTTTACATATTCCAATGAGGGAAACAATGATCACCATAATGTACACATAAGCGAATAGCTGCAAAACTTGGTTGAGACGGTTCAAGGGGCAATTCCTATCACAGGATGATCTTCAGTGAATAGAGAATTGGACTTCACATTGTATAAGAATTTTCATTTCAGTTCATTGTAGTTTTCATTAATTGAATATGTCTAGTTCCGATTCGGCTTATGAAGTGGCTGACATAACTACCTCGATAGGTGTATACAAACTGCAATTTATTTATAATTTTAATGTTTTTCTAAAAATATTTTTCAAGTTTTATACTCCATACGCCTTCTACTTTCATGATCACACTGTGGCTGTGTGCGATTGTCTACCTCATTAGAATATGCAAAGTGGCCGTAGTATAAAGATAGTTGTCGTCTGTCACATTTAGTTAGGTTATGTAGGGTAAAATTCATGTTTTACGTATGAGAGAATTGGAAATTGTATGTCCTTTAAAGCAAGTTGCCGTTTCATATTGGGTATCATTTCTGTATTACGAAATCAAAGTTAGTTGTGACATTTGTCAGATTTAATTAGGTTATGTGAGTTTAGATAAATTTTTTACCTCAATTTCACAATTCTCCAGAAAAATATATTATATCATCACCATCACTACATATGTTTAAATTTTTTGCAATTTACCCCATATGATTATATTATCAGAATTATACATGTACATTTGAAAATGGTATTCCCCTTGTAAGTCAACATTTCGTATATTAGTATTATTATCATTATTGAAATTATAAAATCAAAGTTAGATGTGTCAGTTGTCACATTTAGTTAGGTTAGATTCATTTTTATGGATATGTTCCTAACCTTAATTGTGCAATTTTCCAGAAAAACATATGTCTGGTTGACAGATTTAGTTAGGTTAATTAAGCTTAGATTCAATATTTCCTAACCTCAATTTTGCAATTTTTCAACAAAATACATTAAAACATGTTACGTGTCGATTTTTTTGCAACTTACCCTAAATATACTGCAAGCAATGTTTATATTATCAGGATCGTACATGTGTATGTGAGAATTGGGAATGGTATTGCCCTTATAATAAGTCACCATTTCGTATTTTGGTATCATTTCCGAACTCTGCCTCTTTCTAGTCAAAGTCGCCATGATAGTTCCTTCGGGACTCCTCTCGTGAGAATTGAAGTAAGTGTTGGCAAATTCTACCATATCATGGTATATTTCTTCCGAATTACCCGTTTCCTTTTCATTGTTCTCATTCAGCTCCTGCAATTTTTTCTCTACGCGAAACTTACGCCTTTGCTCGCGTTCCGCGTTGTTTTGTACTTCCGCTTGCTGCTGCTGCTCCTGGGAATACCTCCAAGCAGGTGGCTAAAATTTGGAAGAATAAATATACGTTTTTGCATACAGCATTTCAGCAAGCGTTATACTTTGTAGAAAAATAAAGCTTGCCGAAATACCATCTATTATATCTGAAGGACTAGAAATAAAGAAATAAATTAGAATTGGTAATTTATTTTAGGGATAAAAACTTCATAAACTTACCACAGTACTATTTGTTCTTGAAACTGGAGGCGTAGCCTTGGGCGACTCGGAAGGTATTCGAGGAGGTGCCGGTAACGGTGGAGGCGACACACAAACAGGCACGGGAACAGGCTCTTCCCTGGGAATAACAGACTCATAGATAGGCTCGTCTTTATCATCCTTTTCCTCTTTCTTCTCGACTGGTAGAGCAGGTGTCTCTGGAGTCGATTGAAAAGCTGCAGGTGGCGGTGGCGGAGGACAAGTGGGTTCAGGTAATGACGGTAGACCCATTTTGGGCGGCGTAGGCTGTTGCTGCTCTTGCGCTAGACCTTCCAATTCTTGCTGAATTACAGTTTCTAGCTCCACGTCCAGATCCTCAACCAGTTCGTCCATTTTTTCGCCTATCTCGTCTATGATTTGGTTACGACTCTGCGGCTGAACGTCAGAAAGGAAGGCGAAGAGGTTGTCTAAGTCTACAGATTCGGTTACGGGTTCGGATCTGTTGTGCTTCAATTGTTCCGCCATATGGGACAAAGCGGCAATTTCCTGTTCTGCCGCTCTAAAAAAAAAGGACATTCAAAATAGATTATATTAAATAAAATACAGATATTCGGCATCTCTCAAAAAAGGTAACAAAATATCTTACTTTTCACTCTCTTCCAGATCTTCCTTCTCTGATTCAAACGCAGGCGGTGGTGGAAATTCACTATCCTGCTGCATTTCGGCCAATTTTTGCGCTTCCTCTGCTTCCCTAGCCTCTCTTTCCCTCTTTTCTGCCTCTCTCTGCAACCGCTCCGCTTCCAACTTCTCTCTCTTCCTCATCTCTTCCTCCACCCGTCTCATTTCCCTAAGAGCTGCTGCCACCTCTCTCGCAAACACCCCTCTCAAATGACTCTGGATGACTATAGCGGCTCTACGTTTCTTCAGAAATTCTATACGCAACTTCCAACCTTTGTAGGCGTGTTGTATCTTCAGCACTGCCTTTCGAGTCTTGTTGTATTCTTTCCGTGCGATGTACATCCTGTACGTCTTTTGTATCAACACGGCCCGAGACTTGATCAACTTGTTACGGGCCTCTTCTAATGGTTCGTGGATGTGAGACCTTAAGAAAACCTTAGATTTTCCTAATTGCCATTCGGTCTTTGGTACGTTATGACTTTCTATGAGAGTCTGACATGCTAGCGTCATGTCTGGCGGCAGGCGGTTTTTAGACAGACAGTGATATCGTATCACAAAGTCCTCGAAGCTCATGTGAATGGGAAAACCTTCTTTCCGAATCCGAATAATGTCTAACATTCCCAAATACTTCAACTGGTCCAGGACCAGCTGGTCATCGTAGTCGTTCGGAAGTTTGTGTTGATTAGGCTTTATGCAGCGCACATACCAAGGGGTGGTCGACTGCAGAACGTCGACGAGCGCCTGAAGTTGATGCCTGAATGTATCGGAAACAGTCGGTTTCCCTTTGCTGGTACCTCTGGATACTGTCGTGATACCGTTGGCGACTGCTCTTTGCGCTAGAGTGTTCGAAAGGTCTTGGAACGTATACAGGGCCTGTACAAATTCGTTGCTGCTTCTAGAAATAATGTCGAAGAATACGTCTTGCTGCACATCCCTGTTTTTGTCTACAAAACCTTTGGCATTGTAGGTTACGCAGCCTGCGTAATGTTTAATTCCGAATTCCGTTTCCCATTTTCTTCGGTCTTCACCTAAATCCATGAATAAAATTATAAAGGAACAGAACAAGGTACCTAATTGAATAATTACAGTTGAAAAGGGAACAAAAATAATTAAAGAATTAGGAAAATTGCAGAGAGAAGATATTATAAAATGATAAAAAAAAATGTACAAATATATTTTACCTTTGACATATCTCTCATGAGTTTCAAACTCAGAATGTAGATTGGATATATACGAAGCATCGCAGCCTCTCGGTAGATGGCACTGCTCTGATAATAACCTTAAAATGCACCTTGGCGGTTTCTCTAATAATTCCAAGCACAAGGTATTGTCGGTAAAGGAAATGTGGTTGAATTGAATTTCCTCTTGGGTATACTAAAAAAAACAATGCGTATTAATTTACATTAAAACCAATGACTGCATCATTGACTTACAATTTCTTGTTCCAAGGCAAAAACGTAATGATTAAAAAACTTGTGCAACTTTTCGTTTGTGTAGTTGATACACAATTGTTCGAATGAATTCATGGCAAAATTCTCAAAACCGAAAATATCTAAAACACCCAAGAACCTCGTCGAATCCTGTCCTGGATTGGTACAGTTGTTAATATGATTTATCAACCACGCAAAAGTCCTGGAATACAAGGCTTTTGCCATAGCATGACGATTTTCCCTTGCCTAAAAAAAAATCCATACCGTAAACATCTGCAACAACTTCGCTTTTCTTAAAACTCACCTCCTGCAACTTTAAGGGTATCTCCGTGATATTTCCCCTAACATTAATCTGTCGCAATAAAACAACCTGTTTTAAATTATCTATCTCTAAACCTAACAGATTCGATAAAATTTCTATAATACTTTCATCATCTTTGGTAAGTTGGCACCTCTCTCCATCCACATCCGCAAATGTTAAATTTCCTAACCACAATATGGCAGACAACGTTTGGAATATGCCGTGGCACATGTTTGTCGGAACTTGCAAAACATTAAATGCTAATCTTAAGCTATCTAGTCTTCTCGAATCTCCTTCGATTCTTATGCAGTCGGATTGGTTGAGGTAATTGTAGAATTTCGCTTCTCTCAGATGAAGCTGTGCAGCTAATTCTTTGTTGTACTGCAAACGAGAAGTGAATATGAAAATCTGATTTTTTTGATGATGCAAATACTACATGTCCCTCAAAATTATATACCACTAAATATAGGCTCAAATTTCAGTTATTTTTTTTTCATGAACGGTAGGTCTAATTTTGACATTATTTCCTTTGAATTCAATAACCGGATATAAATGTTTACTGAAATTTCAGTTTTTAGAGAGGGTTAGTTTTTTTCACCAAAATTTGAAACACCCTGTAGAATGCGCCAGGTAAAATAAAATCTACTTAAATTATACTGTAGAGACATCTTTTCTGAACAATTTGCTTACTGGCTCATGTCATTATCCCTGTTATTAACTGAGATACAAAATTAAACAGCAACAGTTTGTTGAAAATTTTAAGTAGTAACAACAAAATAAATCAGTGACAATATAGATCAACAACTTTGAAACCACCAACCCCTATCTGACTTCCTTAATAATGACATTGAAAACATACTAGGAGAAAAACTGAACTATATATCACAGTAAAATGCAAATCATTATAATCATAGAACGATAGTTGCCAATAACATTTTTTTCTGTAACCTACTTCACTAGAACATTGTGTTTGTTTATATCTGTATAATATTTAATGGCGGCATTATCTGTTTAGCGAAGTAGTTTTAAATCTTATCCGAAACAAAGTAGTATATAAATCTATTTTACATGTAGGTGTAAAGAAACAATTTCCCTAAGAAATTTAAAAGTGCCTCACTCATAGACCCATGGAAGAGAAAAGAATTACTCCTTTTTAATACGGTAAACCCATTTATAAAAAAACTTTCTATTGATTTTTATTATACTGTGATGAAATTGATCAAGAAAAAATTAATGCCTTGTTGGAGTATGGATCTGCAATATGAAGTTAATATTAGAACTATTGATTGATTTCCTTCTTTATTTATTTTGTTCAATATTGTTTGCGTTGATGTTTATTTTTGCTGCTGATGATATTTTTTATTATCACAATTATGTCTAAGTTTTTAAGAAAAAAATATCTAAGGACAAAAAAGTTTCTAAATTCAATGGCTTTGTAACTAAATAATTTTTTAAAAATTCAAATTTGCGCCCAAATTTTTTTGGATCCAAAGATAAGGGGGCCCACGAAAAAGTGTCTTAAGGGGGTTTCTCGTCAAAGAGTGTAGCACTATCAGATTCCACATGTCATAAAACCCCTGTGTACCAAATTTAGTGATTTTCGTACAACAGGATTCTGAGATATAAAAAAGATTTCTTAGGGGCAGATTTCAGGGGGCTGTAACTAAATTTTGTTGCGTTAATTTCGGGACATCCTGTATAATAAAACTATATTATAAAACTGATTGTCCGAGTGTTTGTGAAAATTTACAGTGGTCTTTTGACATTTAACAACAGGGGTGGTATTCTGTAACATGGTACGGACTACAAAATGGACTACAAGCGATAAGCTTGAACTTTTACTATTTTTTTTACAAACTGTCATTAATAATATAGCAAAAAGTATTAATCAGATTTACTTAAAATGTCACAAAAAAATCAAAGATAAATGTTTTTGTAAAAATTACGCTTTATCTTGCGATATTTTTTTGTGGCTAAAGTTATAGAACTATAAGAAATTTACAGAATACGGTGTATTAACAACAAATTGTCACTAAATGTAGTCAAATGTAAAGTAATGCCTTTGTATTTAATTATAAAGTCATTAAGAACCATGGTACATTCTCCTCTTATTGTTGTTGTTTAATTGATTATATTTTTTAAGTGTATCAAGTTTAATAGTTTTGATTTGTCTATATTATATTTTTTAAGTGTATCAAGTTTAATAGTTTTGATTTGTCTATATTATATTTTTTAAGTGTATTTTATTGAGACCTGACATTTTTCTTCAATTCTTGCATTTTAAATTGTCATAAAACATTTAACTATTGCCCATTGTAACTTATTTTGAAATTGGGCTTTATTGAAAACTGAAATTTCAATAAAAAAGATTGTCAAAATCAAATTATCTTCGAAACTATAAGACTAACCTTCAATAGCGTACTAATTTTGACGCCAGGTCTATATTAAAACCGCATTATTTTAGTTTAAATTGCTGCTTCTGAACAAAATTAAAATTTCAGTAAAAAGTAAAACTTTTTTCAACAAAAAGATTCAGTGGCATGGCAAACAATAAAAGCAGGTCATATTCAACATTGTACTGAAATATAACGCACCAGCTTTTGTGTATGCTTTATTGTTCGTGGCTCTTTTAATATCAAAATTTAACAACGCATAAGCAAATACAGTTACTTAGTAAATGACGTCTGCAATGTTTTTTATTTATTATATAAATGTCTTCACACTGCAATAAACAAGATGTATTCAGGGCTAGTATATTTAAATATGTATGTAGACAGGAACTCCAAGTAAATAAAATAAATAAATTCTTTTAAACTTACTTAATGTAAATTTTGAAAATACACAAGGTGTAAGTGATCAGCCAAACACTAATTGTGAATTCCTCATTTTTCTCAACAATTGTTTGCTGTTTGAAATAAATAATATTTTTTTTTATTAATTTTGAACTGCGTGGATCTCGAAAACAAAGCAACTGTAGACACGTATTTATTGGAACTTTTTTAACTTATGACGTAGAATTTACCCGTTAAAGTGTTTGCAAGCACTGTATACTTAACATATCCAGTATTAGTTCAAAAACTCTTCTATTCAAGAAATGTAAATACATATTTTTTTAAACGTATTGTGTGTGGTTCAATTTCAATAGGTAGGACATATTTTTTTTTGAGAAATAGTTTACAACATTTTGCTTACCTTTGCTTCTTCCACTAACTGATAAAATACGTGATAATTTCGCTCTCCGGGTCCCTGAAACGTTAGCCTCGACTGTTCCAATAAATAATCTTGTATAATACAACCAGCAATCATCCATCGGGAGTCAAAACATACTTGCATAAACTTTCCAAACCTACTCGAATTGTCGTTCCGTACAGTCCTCGCATTACCTAAAAAATACGGTAGAAATTTGTACATTTTTTCAGCGGTGCAGTTTAATGTATAGAACATGTAGTTAAGTAGTTTTTTTTGCGAAAAAATTAAGATTAAGAAAGTTAAATTTAAAATAAACATGCACCTATGATTTTTTAATAGAAAACTTGTTGAGGACCACTGATTTCACTATAAAATTTACGCATAACGTAAATCGGTTACACAATGTTGCCAGCGTTATACAGGGGGTCCCGAAATTAATGGGACACAGAGCAAGGGTAGATTCCTTACATCAAAATAATGCGATTAAGCCAAACTTACCTTAGTCCATTTGTGGCTAATAAAAATGTTACAGGTCTTTAAAGTTGAAATTTTGAATTCGAAATTCTTAAAATTCTTAGAAAGTTTTCAAAGGATTCTTTTGAAAATTTGGATTAGGGGGTTTTCTGGGGCGAGAAAAACGAATCCGTACTTAATTTTGCTGTAGACGCTAGAGAGCGCTACGAAATGTACTCTTGGTTGATAAAAACTGCTTATAACTTTTTTATCAGTGTGCGTACGAAAGTTTTAATAGAAAAATTTTGTTCTATCTATTTTTCACAAATAAGGGATACTTGTTTTATGTCGATAAATTTAACCGTTTTCGATTTATTTCTTGTTTTTCTATTGGATGCAATAAAATAAAATAAAAGTTTGTAGTTACTTACGTAAAACTGTCATAGTAGGCTTTGGTTATTTGAAAACAAATTGTACTATTGACAATTAGCTGATTGATAAGTATCTTATGTTAAATAGTGTATTCCTTTAAGTTTTTGTTTACAAATCCTAAAAGACGAGATGCTGGCCGTCCAACAACTGTTACTCCAGGACAAGAGGAGGATATTTTGCTTCGTGTAACAGAAAATCCTGAAATAAGTTTACAACGAATGTCTGCGGCTGTAGTGGTACCTAAATAATCTATTCATAGATTATTTCATAATGAAAAACTGTACCCGTATCACTTTAGCCCAGTGCAGAATTTACTACCTGCAGATTTTCCAGATAGAGAACAATTTTGTCTTCGATTCTTAGACCGACACAATGATGATCCACACTTTTTAAGCAAGGTGTTGTTTGCAGACGAAGCCACATTTACTCGCCGGGGCATTTTCAACTTCAGAAATAAACATGTTTGGGATAATGAAAACCCGCATGTATTAAGAGAATGACATTCTCCAACATGAATTTAAGATAAACATTTGGTGTGGTATTGTTGGAAATCATCTGTTGGGCCCTGTTGAATTGCCATATTATCTGAATGGTCGTTCTTACTTACATTTCTTAGAACATGATTTTGAGGAACTTATTGATGATTAAATGTAAGACACAATATGTTTTTTATGCAAGACGGTGCCCCTGCCCATTTTTCTGCACAGGTGCGAAACTTTCTTAACGCACAATTTCCCCAACGGTGGATAGGTCTCAGCAGCACGTTTTCATAGCCCGCACGAAGCCCAGATTTAAACCCCATGGATTTCAGTATTTGGGGTATTTTGAAATCAAAAGTTTACAGTGACCCTATTAATACACGGGATGAGCTGTGGCAAGCAATTTTAAATGCTACGAATTTATTAAGAAATGAAGAAACACTATTTACTTAATATTAGACAATCATTTATCAAACGAATAAGATTGTGTATTAATGTAAACGGGGGTCATATTGAGAATTTAATGTAGCCACCTGAATATAATTAAATTATTATTAAAAATAATCTTTAGTTTTTTACGTAAGTAACTACAAACTTTTATTTTATTTTATTTTATTGCATCCAATAGAAAAACAAGAAATAAATCGAAAACGGTTAAATTTATCGACATAAAACAAGTATCCCTTAGTTGTGAAGAACAATATTTTTCTATTAAAACTTTCGTACGCACACTGATAAAAAAGTTATAACCAGTTTTTATCAACCAAGAGTACATTTCGTTGCGCTCTCTAGCGTCTACAGCAAAATTAAGTAAGGATTCGTTTTTCTCGCCTCAGAAAACCCCCTAATCCAAATTTTCAAAAGAATTCTTTGAACACTTTCTAAGAATTTTAAGAATTTCTAATTCAAAATTTCAACTTTAACGCCCTGTAACTTTTTTATTAGCCACAAATGGACCAAGGTAAGTTTGGCTTAATCGCATTATTTTGATGTAAGGAATCTACCCATGCTCTGTGTCCCATTAATTTCGGGACACCCTGTATAGAACTCTCAAACACCGTCGTAATATCAAATTTTAAGAAAAAAGTTAAATAGTTAACCTTCGTCAGATCCTCTTTAGATTATTTTCTCTACCATCGGTATTTGTATACCCAATAAATTATTTTATTTTCATTACAAACTTCAGAGAATAGCCAGCAAGAAACTGAAACTATCAAAGTTTCAGACACAGTCTATCAATCATCTGCATCCAGCAGGGTATTAAACGTTTCAGCAGTTCCGAACTTGCACCAAACTCGGCTAAGTGTGAAATAGAGCAGTTAAATAATCATAGTTGGCTTGGTGTAACAGTTGAGAACAAGCAAGTCCTCATCAGCTAAACGACCAACGATTCCGCAATAATTGACGACACTTATGGTATTTGTCCGTCATGTTATTGGCCTTGTTATTTCACTCTAGGAGAACAAAATGACTAACTAGCATTTCCATTGTTATGTTTACAATAAAACCCTTTTATTTGAAGGGTGAAAGTAATACGCGGCACAATAGATGAGGGGAAGTGAATGCAGTTTGTCGTTTGCATGCTATTAAAATGCGTTGTAGTCAGTTGCATACCATTAGGGACATCAAACAGAAAAGTCCTTTATGACTATAATACGCTTTTGTGTGTCTTCTTTATTAGTGAAGGACCCACAAAAATTCCCGAAGAAGTCCCCAAATAAGAAAAGGACTTGGATTCAAATAAAACATTCAATCAAACATATTTAGACCGCTGAAAACTGTTGGTGGCGTCAGCTTTTCTACATTCTATAATTTAGAAGCTAATTGAAATAAACATACAAAAGGTAGACAAGTTCACCAATTTCTGTTAGTTTAGGATTTATTAGCACTTTTTGCATTTTGGCTAGTTTTTTCGCTATTTTTATGTCTATTTCATTGCTTGTATGCCTTCTGGCACTGCTTTTTAAGCTTTATCCCTTAGCATCATCATCTGTAGCTATACAGAAAGTTATGAGTTGATGGGACGCTGTTGGAGCGCGTTTTAACAATGTTTTGAATTGAAAAAAGTTAATTATTGCAAATGTTTACAATATATTGGTAAGTCACAAGTGAAGTTACAATACAATGTAACTATTTAGTTCCAGTTGGAATTAGATCAATGAATTAAAAATAAACTGTTTTTGGTTTTTCAGGTTTTTAGGACCTGTCGTGTACCCTCAGTATAGTCTTGGAACTTATTTCGAAATGAGCAACGTCGTGTTAAACGTATTGAAAGGCAAGAAATATGCTTGAATTCTGGTCGTGACCTCACAGTGGTTAGAAACTTCCACTCTGGTTTCAGAACTGAGATACTAGAGTCGACTTTTGATCACCCTTCGGGATGGCTCCGCGAATTCTTGGGACTTCCCCGTTGTGCAATCCGGCTGTTATTCTAGATCTATCTGAAACAATTTAGTTGTCGTGTTCCAGCTTAAATTTCATAGAATTCCTGGCTATTTCGCGGAAAAATTGGAAACTGAGTTAAAATTTTGGGTATCCGCGAGAATCGTTGGCGGTACCTCTGTCAACAGCATCGGTTTTTCTTGATGTCGTTTACTTCGGCTTGTCGGCTTGTGGTGTTTGGAGCGGTTTGAGGCTTTTTGGACAGTTTCTGCGGATGAATCCGAAACTTGGGTGAAAATTTCAATTTCTGCTTGGCATAGATGGTCAGCTAGATGCCCTCGAGCACCTGCAACTCTTTTGGTTGGATTTTCCGTATGTATGGGCTCCGCAAATTGCTTCAGAGGTCAGACTTATCTGTAGAGTCTGGAGTCGAAATACATATAATAGGAACTTGCGTCTATTAATTAGGCGTAGTTTTTCTGAAGGTTTTTATCATTGCCCAAAGTTTCGTTAATCTGCATCAGACAACTTCAGAGATTATCGAAAAATGTGACATTTTTCAACAAATATAACTCCCTATATCTTGGAAACCAATAACTTTAGGCTTCTGGTTTATTAAGGCATTTGGGTCTAAAATGACCCAAAGAATACACCCAATATAACATTATAGATTACTTTTAAAAGTATAAATGCCAGTTGCCCATTAAATATAGTTTCAAAAGGATTTAAAAAACAATATAAGTAATAAATTAGTTCTTAATGACTGTCAACCAATGAACATACGACAAAAGTGATATAAAATTGTGAATGAAGACCGATTACAATTGAAATATGAATATATTTCATGAAAATTTTACATTTTCCCCTGATATGGTCCAAATCTATGAAATTTCCTGATAGTTCTGGGTTTCCCAGGTTGTTTTATACTATTTTTTAAAAGCAGTTTGAAAGAACGATAAGAAGCAGGACAATTGCTGCAGAGGTATGTCAATTTTACAGAAAATGGTAAAAGGAGTGTTAATTTCTGTGAGGTATCTAGATTTTTTTGGATATCAATTTCAAAGAACATGGTAAAATAGAATCGTGGCACATTCCGTGGAAAGTTACGAAGGAAGTCAAAGTTCTGTTGGTACACCATGTAGAATCACCATCAGAACTTACTTAAGGCAAATATTAATATTAGATACCTACCGAATGCCTCCAATATGGTATTGGCCTCTAAAATCTGCTGTTCTATCCACGTGGAAACGCCGCTGGTAACCGAACAGAGATACTGCAGGATAAATCTCGTGGTTTCGGTTTTTCCAGCACCGCTCTCACCGCTTATCACTACGCTTTGGTTCGTGTGCCCCTTGCCAGAGTTGTCCGTCTGTAGAGAGGCGTACGCTGCTTCTGCCAATGCGAATACGTGGGGTTCGAGATCGCGCAATTTTCTGCCGTGGTACTTGTTCACATAATTCTGAAAATGACAAAAAATATACGCGTTAAAAGAAATACCACGCAATTAGTTCATTATCACTGCAAAAAATTTCGATATTTAACTTCCAACTACTGTCAAAACTTTACTTCTCTTTATTACTTAGCTAGGTACTCTCATATAAATGAAAAGCTGGTAAACTTTTATGGTTCGGGTACGGCAATCATTAATTACATTTTTATATTTGGATAAAACTCTATTTAGTGGACGAACAAGTGAAGGAGTAAAACCTGTGCGACATCTCCTGTATTGAAAAAAAGTAGTCTCTGGGGATGTCCTGGAGGTTTAGGTATACGTGATTTGCAATATAACGAGCGTTCAAATAAAAACGTGGTCGAAGTTGGCTCTGACACATTGGACGTAGGGAGTAGCTTATAGCGACCAACTTAACCTCATTTCTCAACGAGCTGTATAGCAGCTGTCAGTTTCAATAACGTTAATGACTATATAACTTTATTTTAAAGAATAATCGTGATAACAATAACAAACAATTAAAGGAGCTGCGGAAAGTGTCCCCCTCCTTGTTATAACAATAAATTAAAGCAGCTGCTGAAAGTGTCCCCCTCCTTGTTCCAAGCACTTTTCACACCTGTTCCTCAAAGAATTAAAGACATTTTCTAAGATGCTCGGGGTATTGTTAATTTCACGAATCTTGTCTATAAGTCGAGCCTGCAGATGGTTTAAATCAGGAATAGGCAGTTCAAAAATAGTGTTTTTAAGGTAAGGCCACAAAAAGAAATCACACGGCGTAATATCACATGACCTCGGTGGAAATTCATGTTCAGCATTGAGACTTATTAGTCGATTTTGGAAAACTTCCCTCAACATATTCATCGTCTCGCCTGCCGTATGTGCCCTTGCGCCATCTTGTTGAAAGTAAAAGTTTGTAATTTCGTTTTCTTCCAGCTGGTTAACAAAAGGAGCGATAATTTCTTCTCTATACCTTTGCGCAGTAAGAGTACCATTAAAAAAAATAGGTCCATAAATCCTCCTTCGATTGAGAGCACACCAAACTCCAATTTTTTGAGCGTGTAGAGGGCCCTCGACAAAAAAGTTATCTGGTTTTTCAGAAGACCACATTCTCATATTCTGTGAGTTTACGTAACCACTTAAATGAAACCAGGCTTCATCAGAAAAAAAGGTGATATTATGAAGTTCACCGTAGTTGTTTAAAAACCATTCACAAAATACAGCCCGTCGCGGAAAATCAACTTCATGAAGTTCTTGCTGACAAGTTAAACGATAGGAGAACAAACGCAAATCTTTTTTTAACACTGTGTGGCAGGTACCGACTGATACTCCCACCATTTGTGATAAAACACGTACAGAAGTTCTTGGCGCATTTTCCATTATTTGTTGGACATTTTCTTTTAATTCTTCAGTCCGCTTTTTAGGTCGGCCGCTTCCTTCTTTTCTTGTTACACTGCCCGTTTCACGAAAAACATTAACACAACGTTGAACCGCACTTTGAAAAATCTTGTACTCAACAACGCCGGGAAATTGATTTTGACATTCTATGAAACATGCCTCAATAGAATACTTCCATATTCCATCAATCTTGCGTCCATTTCTAAAGTAGGACTCTATGATAAACACTTTTTTATTCTTGAGAAAACACCATTTTAAACGCTTTTTAAAACGAAAATATTCAAATTGATAGCGGCGATATAGCGCTTTGACAGATGACGTTTAAGTTCATTTGCTATACGCTACGCCCAATGTCCAAATTTTCAGAACCAACTTGACCACGTTTTTATTTGAACGCTCGTTACTTTGAAATTATTCTTGTAGAGAAGAACGTTCTGGTGGATATAAATAAATTTGTGCTATGCTCTAAAATGTGTCGCGTTGTTTCGGGATGGTTTTAAAAAAGGATACCTACTCAGCGATTGCGACTGAATGAAAATGATGCTTATTAACGTCATACTTAAACAAATTAACGATTCTGAAATATAATTAACATATTCTAAATAGTACTAATCCGAAATACAAATTACGTTTTTTGAAAAAACACAATAATATGGAACTGAAATTACGCTTTCTCAAAATTAATTTCGCCATTTCTGAAATAAATATGTAAAAATCTGGTACTCAAACTGTTTCATTAAAAGATTAACTTGAGTAAAAATAGTTCTAAAAAAAGCTGAGACCTTTTAATTGAAAATTGTATCCTTCCTTTTAAATATAATATAAAAGCTAATTACTTTAAGTACCTTTAATAAGTGTATGGTCAATTACCACCCATAAATTAATAAAAAAGGAAGAGAAACCATTAGCTTTTCTATAAATTTCAATCAGAAGAAACTCCACTCAATTCTATCCGAAGGCATACAATTTCGGGCTATTGAATTAAGTTTTAATTACGAGCCGCGAGCGTAATCAACAGCTAAACCGAAATGAATGCCTTTGTAATAAAACTGTAAAGTCATCTTGCAGAGGGTTGAAAATGGGTTCCTTTTGTTTCCTTTGAGGTTGATATAATCCTAAAATCCATGTAAGTATCTGCATGTTTACTACACTTTCTATCCTAAATATCAATGATGGCCTTGTTAAATACATTGTCGCAGATCATGCAATGAAAGTGTCTTCCACTTTTTTATTAACAACATACAACAATTGGCGTAAATAATAAAGAATATATATTACATTTGAACAAGTTATTTTTAACATCGAAAGACACGAGTTCCACATATAAAGATAAGATTGTCAGCTATCTATAACTTCGCATTTATAAATGGCTGTTGTTGAGATGTTACTCTTCCTTTCTATATTACGAGTAGAATGTACATTTAAATAATTAGTTCAATACCAGGCATAAGCTTCAGTGGAAATTAAATAAAGAATAATGGTATTTTTGTTAAAAAATTATATGATACAGGTACAAGTTAGAAAATTATTATTAACCGATAACTTCATTTTGTAATATTATACAATCTGACGTCAAAGAAGTAACAAAAACACCCACGTAGATTAACAAAAAAGTGTGAGCACATCGAAAACTGCTATAGTCTGTAGGAAAGGTGATAGTTCCTAAATATCAACTCTCACGAAAGACATAGGTAGGTACACTAATTTATTTAAATATCCCCACAAATAAAAGTTTATATTTAAGTCCGAGAACAAAAGGTCTGTTCCAACAAGAGTCAGGGATTGGTTCCGAACCGTCAGAAATGTGCATCCAACTAATTCTTGAGATATATTCACTGAAGACACATTTAGAACTTAGCTGGCCAAACATTTCGAACGGTTCGGAACCAATCCCTGACTCTTGTTGGAACAGACCTAAAATAGTTTCTTCTTCTAAACCGACTACGTGGCAACTAACAAATCGAAGATGAATTATAACACACATTTATTTATTTTATCAATATGCTGATATAGGCCAATCAATAGAGCATTAAATCAATAATTTTGTGACAAAAATACTAATAGCAAACGGACTGTGCCATCATATAAAAGAGAGTCTGTAGATATATGCCTATATGTTTCCTACTCCAATTTACCATTAATTATTTTTTTTAAACATTTTTATGCAAAAAAACGTATATTTTTTAGTTTTTTGCTTATAAAACCCAAACTAACGAAGCAATCTGAATGCTATAAAGAGAAGTGGTATACAACCATTACAAAATGTAATAAAATTTCCTTAACAAGGACACCTAAATATGTATACTTTGCAACAGAAAAGTACATTTTGCAATAGCTGTTTGACATTGACAATTTATTGATGAATAGATTGACGAAGTTCTTCAATTAATTCACGAATTTATTGGTAAACAGTGTGGTTTTACACTGCTACAGATTTTGTCAAGTTTTTTGACGTATGAATCAGTTCTACCAATGAATCAAAGAAGCAAATAAATTTCAAAAATGTCACCTTTCCACTCATAATTGTAGTGATACAACAGCGGTACCGTTCTGACAAATATTATATAAATATTAGTTTTTGTAAGTAACAAATCAGTAAAAACAATGCAAAACTTGCACGACGCCACACAATTATTTACATATTCCAATAACATAACCTCATTACTGATCTGAGGCTGGAAATCTGTTGGGTTGGTACCTCCGAACTTCACGAAGAAATTGACGAAAATTAGAACATGCTCTAATTCGTCAAGAACTTGATGAATAAATTCATGAAGTTATTTGACAGCAGATTTGGTGCATTACACTTGTCCAATTTCTTGATGAAGC